AAAAAAGCTCTACCGCCCCCTGCATGGACCCTCTACCGCCCCCCCAAGAAAGCGACTCATGCTGCCACCTGCCATAGGCGCTAAATAATCCAAGCTTCCAATTCACGGCTGGTGGATGAATCGCCTGGAATGCTCGGAGGGCTTGCCGAGTCCGATTGTCAAAATCTTGCAGCCCCCACATATGCTGGCCGCAGTTCTGGGCGATGCCCCTCATGGCTGGCATCCTCAAAAAATCAGTGAATGCAGATGGCCTGAATGAATGTTGACATGAACACTTGACAATTGCTTCACAAAACGTTTCATTCATTCATTGGTTGCCAAGATACCTGCCAAGCTGGCCATGGATGAAGCCCCAAACCGCAGTCAAGTCCGCGGGCCAATTGCCTGATAAGGACATGATCGCAGCCACCACCTCCACGCCCTGGTCCTCAGTGATCGCTCGTGAACTCATGGCGTAACATGGCATAACCCAAGCAAGAAGCGTGCAAGCAAAATTAAATCACAAAACTATTGTCGCCAAAAGACCATCAACCAGGCATACATGATCGCGGTGACCGTGGTGGCTCTGTGATACCCAGCCGAGCAGTTGATCAAGACCAAGATGGCAGGAGAGCTAAACAACCGCCACATAACGCGAGTTGTATTGGGATTCCGGAGCACCTAAGATGCTAAAACATGATCAATGGTTCAAGACCCCGCAAAACATGTGAATCAATGGTTCAAGACACCGAACACGCACTCCAAGACTATCAAACAAAATGCAGCCAAGCATCGCTTTCCCGCACCCTGGCCACCAAGCCGCAGTGCTTCAAGATGGATCGATCAATGGCGGCGCGGTCATGCTCCTCGCTCCTGGGCATGTGGGTTCTCAGCAGGAATAGCCATGTAAGTATGTGTCAGTCAACAACCAGTCAACAACCAACAAATGACAAGAAAATGCACAAGCAAGTAAGTCAAGGTCAATTGAACATCAATAAGTGCAAGCAAGACACTCCAGCATCCAACACAAATTGTGGCACTGAACTGAAATGTGGTCCGCCACTTCAAAGATGATGTCTTGAGGACGGTCAACGACGCTGCCGTTTGGAAGGTGGGCCTGGGCCTTAGAAGACACGGTAAGAGCTGCAAGCCCGTGGCATGAAAACGCAACCTGATCAGAATGATGATACCATGGGCATGCGTCTGAAATCTTAATGTGAACCAAGCAGCTCTCGTCCTCATCCCTTTGATGGGCCAAGCGAAAATGGCGACCTTTCGTGGCCAGCGAGGCACGCTCCACGTATTTCCAGTGCAAGCACCCGCCATAGTTGTACACGCGGCCGCTCTCCAATTCACCAATCCTCAGATCCAGTTCCACTACACCACAACTCGTGCGCAACTATGACACAAGCAAACAAAGCAATGACACAAGCTTGCAGTTGCAATGCATGGGTTAGCAAAAGTTGTTCCAAGCTACGCCTGATCGGACAGAGCAGGATCCAGCTTCCACCTTGAAATGTTTGCAATGCGGAATCCATGGCAGTTGGCCAATGAATGATCTCAGTTGGCCACTCATGTGTCATCATGTGTCCACTTGCAGCAAAGGTACAGCAGAAACAAAGTCTGCTGGCCAGCGCGATCCAGCTGCAAGGCGATCTTCAAGTACTTCTCCGGCAGCTGTGCCACCGCTATGGAGTTGGAGGGCATGCAGGCAGAAAAATTGAATCTGATGACTTGAATCTGACTTGAAGCTGAGGGTTGAAAAGCTTGAAATTGAATCTTCTCATCGGCTGAAGACTGAATCTGATCTGACTGTGATTCGATCTGCAAATGACATTTTATCTGATCTGACTGTGAGTGCGGCAAGTTGAAGGTCAGTTTGAAGGCTAGTTACTAGTTGAGTGTGGTAACAAGTTGAGTGTGGCAACTGCTTGATGTGCTCCCTCTGAGGGTATGAAGGCCGCCTTCATTTGATCCACAAAGGGCCATGGATCGGTGGTTGGCAAAAACCAGGAAACATTAAATGAATCAAACTCCTGTCATGACATCAAATTCAAGAAACAGTCACGATATAAAAAATACTCGGAAACCATGGATCAGAATCAGAATCGGTGAGTGAATCCACCCGCAGCCCAAAAGTTAAAACCTTAAAGGTATACACGCGCGATCAACAAATGACAGAACACGACGACACATCCTTGCCTTCCAGCACAGGTGCAGCAAGTCGAAGGTATGTTGAGGACCTGGCTCGGTTGACTTGAAATGTCAGTTTATTTGTTCATGTCCAATGTCAGTCATGACAGAATGGTGGACCGCCTTCTAGTGACACAGTGGCATGGGACGACATGGGAGTTGCACAGCAGATTTAGCAACGATGTGAGATAGAAAGACATGTGAGCATGTGAACGTTAAGAATGTGAAATTATTGAATGAGTGATTGAATGTGAATGTGAATGTGAATGTGATTCAGAAACAGCGAAACTTCTCACAGGGCGCCCACTTCAATGGGTCAGGACTCTGCCTGAAAAGGTTAATTAGGGACTCATTTCAGTGGACCATTTCGGTGAGGATGAGTCAATCACCAGCGATTGACAATTACTGTGAATCCTTCAAAGATCTCAACCTCACGTGAGCAGCTATCATTCGCTGAGCTCCGTTCAAAAATTGATACTCACAATCGACTTTATCATTGTGAGTTCAACTGTGTGAACCATTCATCACTTGACCAAAGGACCACACACGGGCTTGATGGGACTTGAAATAGTCGTTCAAACAGTGGTTGCCTCTTGGTGAAGTGAAGTCCAGTGACAAAAAACATCCTGCCGCCTACTCTGGGTCACAGTCAACAGCAAAGAACCTGCAAAGCGACCTTGTGTACTGCAGGATTTCCTCCAGACTGGTCCTGAACAACTCCAAGCGCAGTAGGACAGGTCTCCTCTGATTTGGGTCGTCAAGCACTTCCTCAAGGAGCCCGATAAACTCGTTGACATCCTGAGTCCAAAGATTATAATTCAGATGGTCAAACACGTCAAACACATGAATTGTCAATTCAAATCTCAAGTTCTTACTTATTGAACATTTTTAAATTGAAAACTTGCAGCCAAGACTCTCTCAAAGCAAAGAAAGTTTCAGCGTGCAAGCTTTGGATTTGGAGTTGAACATATACCTCAGGTGGCTCAAATGGAAACAGAGCCAACAATCCAGCTGCTGCACGGACGAGCAAGCCACGAGTGACAAGGAAACCCTCGAAACAGGATGTTCAACACGTTCTCAACAGTGGCGATCACAGTCTACTAAGTCATTGAAGGAGTCAATAGAACATGTGACTACTACTACACAGTGACAAAGGTGGAAATACTGCACCACTGTCATCTGGCAAGGAGCAATAGGTGGAGGTGGCGTTGCATATCCTGATCCCCATGCTCCTGATGCTCCCTGCGCTCCCTGTGCTACCGATCCCGACATTGCCCGCGAATATCAGCGAATGGTTCAATGATTCAATCAATGTATCTATGGAGTCTTTGTTTTTTGTTTGTGTTCCCTGTGTTGCCTTTGCCTGTACTCTTCTGTTTTGATGAATTATGTTACTCTTTGGCATCAACCATTCATTCATGCTTAGCTATCAGTTGTTTCCTTGATGATCCACAATTATGTCCTCCTTCCGGCCAAAAGATAGGCAGAATAGTAAATTGACATTTTTACAACTGGCATGAGTTCGATAGCTAATCTTGAAACTGACTATGAACATGAAGTTGCAGCTGATACTGACTGATCTGACTGAATCTGACTGAGTGACAAATCATGCCAGGTGCACGTTGGAGAAACCCAGGTCGATGTAGAGGTCCACCAACCACCCACCACCCCAGGTCCACCAACCACCCACCACCCAGAACGCACCCCAATGCCTCATGGTAAGTTATGACGATCGTGCAGAACGTTTGTTCATCGAATGGCCCATGATAAATTGAACAAGTCAACCAAAAGTTCAAAACCACCCAGAACGCACCCCAACCCCCGATGGTAGGTGGCTGCACGTTTGTTCATCGAACGGCCGGCCCATGACAAGTTCTTCTTCCTCCCCCTTTGCTTTAGCATCCAATATTCTGACAGCATTTTCTTCTTCTTCCTCCCCCTCTGCTTTAGCATCCAAATCAAAGGTGAATAAGAAAACTGAGAGCATCTTCATCTTCTTCCTCCCCCTCTTCTTTAGGATCAAACTCAAAACCATTAGCGTCATCTTCTTCCTCCCCCTCTTCTTCTGTCAAAATCAAAATCATTAGCGTCATCTTCTTCCTCCCCCTCTTCTTTAGTATCAAAAGCAAAATAATACGCGTCATCTTCTTCCTCCCCCTCTTCTTTAGTATCAGAATCAAAATCATTAGCATCAGAAACAAGAAAACTGAGAGTCAAAAAAAAGTGAGAGTCATTTTTGCAAGCCCCTCTGATTGGGTCTTTTCTCGTCCTTCATGGGCCGACGGGCGTCGTGTTCGACTTTCGTGAGGCATTTGAACAACGAAATCACTGAGCAACGTGTGGATGCAGTGCTCGACGCGTTTCATGAGCTCATGGTGCAGAATGTGCAGCTTGACGTGACACAGGGTGGGGTGAGAGAGTGGAAACCCGAGGCTCGAGAGACTCAGGTGAGGGGCTGAAACCTGGAAAAGCGACCACGTCCCAGCAAAGCATTGCAGAATGCTGTTGTTCCTTGTGTTCCTGGTTCATTCTCCGTACGAAAGCGCACCGTTTCGGGCAGACGCTCAGATGGAGAACCTCGCGCTTAGCCTTCCGCTGTCGTTTGTCGAGAAAAAATTCCCCGCTCTGAGGCCGAACCTGCCGCCAGGCACAGCCGCTGCCTGGCGCAAGTTGTTGAGCTACACCGGGTCCTGCTACAGGCGCGACATGGGCACGATGGACGTTTTATCCGAGCGGTTGAGAGACGTCAGCCAAGTAATATCAAGTACCCAGCAAACAAGATGACGAGGACACTTCAAAAGAACATCATCGTCCATGTCAATTTCGATATGCATGTTGCTTACTGGTAGCAATTCACAGTGTGTCCAGGAGTCCACAACAGACACTTGGGCTTCGTTCAAGGCACCAGATTCTGTTCAATCCTCAAGGATGATGCCACCTTAAAGTGATCTTGGACCGTGGTGCCCATGCCATCCGACGCATCTTGATGCATCATAACCGCCCCCATGGATGTGCCATAGCCCAGTGGGGCCAGGTATGTGGGTGACACCTATGGGGAGCGCCTCCGAGTGATCAAGGCCAGACGGAAGGAAGCCTTTCGAACGGGTCATCCATGGATCAGCTGGGAGCTGATCCAGGTGGGACCGAACGGTGGGACCTCCATGGATGGCCCAAAGATCATCCGATCCTCAATCCTGGATTTGATGATATGACTTGATGGGCCTTTGAGGTGTTGGGCCTTTGAAGGCTGGGTGTCTTGTTGAGGCAAGCTGTAAAGGCCCTTCTCCCGCGTCAGTTATTGCCAGCCAAGTGAGCGACTTTCGTGAACCTGTCCAGGAAGATTGGGCTGCCGTTCAGAAGTCTGCTACGGACGACCGGAACAAGGACGAGACCAAGACTAACGCGGGCGACAACGCCAACGCGGGTGGTGGAGAGAATGCAAATGCAGACGAGGCGAAAGAAGATGACACGGCTGACGCTGGGGCCGAGACCTTCAGCTTTGGGCGGATGTGCGCTTTCAGCAATGAGGTCATGGGACAGAAGACTGAAGGCAGGAGCAAGACATGCAAGAGGAGAGGAGGAAGCACTGAATGCAGAATACTTTTTTGGGGGGGCTTGATTGTTTGGCTTGATTGTTTGAAACTGAATTTCTGCTTGTTTGAGTCAGAGGCTGTGCGACTGAGCCATTGACGGAAATGTAACATGGGGCTAAGGACCAATCACAGCAATTTGTTACATTTGTTATATAATGTGTATATATATCTATGTATGTTTATCCACGCAGTTTGCAGCCGTTTATGGTTGAGGCTTGGCATTGCATTGGGTTATGCATATCGATTTGGGTTTGCCCATTGTTGAATATACACCTTGTCCCTGCAGGGTGGATGTTGGAGCTCCTTCAGGTCTTTCATGCTCCTTGGCCAGGATGGTAAAGTTGACGAGTTCTGACGAGTTGACACAGAGAAGAGCTTGGATGGGAGGAATGGAAAGGAAGAACTGATTGTACAAAGAAGATCCAGGACGATCCAGACTAGGCGGGTGACAAACCTGAGACCCAAAGACGCACACAGAGAGCAGCAGAGCTGAGGGTAAATGTGCACATGAATCTCCGCTTAAATCAACCTTCTAGCCTTGTTGGCCCTTAGCCCTGAGAAGTTTCTTTTCCTGCCCAGCCTTCCGAAACTGCACCCAGATCTTGGTCGATATGATCTCCAGCCCTGTGCATTTGCAAGAGGACAGGCCTGATCGTGTCCTCCGCATGCCCCAAAGCCCACACACTTACAGCTATGAGTGTTCGGATGTGTCCAGACACAAGGGACGACTATGGCCTATAGAGGTTCATTTACAAGTTTTTGCCATGCGAGATAGGTTGAGATTACCACTTCACGTAATCAAGCAAGGATATACAGCGCAACTACAGATGGCTTAAAAGCATGCAGCGCCCTGGAGGGCTTGGCACCTTCCTCAAGTGAGAAACACTTTCAAAACATATCTTTATAGTCAGACTTTATTTTCTTGCCAATTTTTGATGGGTTCAAGTGGTTCTCAGAAGTCAGAATTTCTATGATGAAATCCTCCAACTAGGAGGCCCCCAAAAAGAATTCCATGATTGACCATCCACTTATTCATTGATTGGCTCCTTTGGTGGTCTTTTTGCTCAACCGCTGATGCATTTGCTTGGGCTCTTTATGTTGCCAGGAGTGCGACTTATTGGCGATCAACTTGATTACCAAGTCCAACGTGCTTTGGCCCTGGGGGTGTCCAGAGCAGTGGAGAATTGGGACAGGCTCCACCAACTCTTTGCAAATCGGAGAATCTCAAAGATTGTTGTATAAGTCTGATGTATTCTGACATGGTGACACTGCTATTCACATGTCCGTCCCCAGGTTAGCCACAAACGAAAAGAAGCATTGCTCTAGGAAATGGCCCCGTCTTCCGGTTGATCGACTTTTGTTTAAGGACTGCTTTGCCAAAGCAAGCCCGAGACAACAAACAATTACTGCAGCATAATGACAAGCCCCAAGACACTCATTTGGTTCTGTTGAATTATATTGACTTGATACCATTTTAACTATTGGACTTGGTAGAGCGAACCCCAGTGCCCCCACATTAAAACTCAGTTGTGCATCATCTCTATCGGAGCTCATCCTTGATCCCCACATGTCATGGCTCCCTATTATCAATTCGAATGAGTCCAAGAAAAGCATCGCACATAAACGTGAAGCGGCCAGACATCAAGTGCAGTCTCACTTGAAGAGCTTTGCTTCTCTCAGTCGATTGACTTTGAGAAGTTCAAGCCGGTGATGTTGGCAGCCTTGCGATCCTTGCCTCTTGGGCGTGAAGGAACGATGGGCCATGCAAACGACTCAGAGAAGCCATCCATACTGAGGGCTGAGCCCATCCTCAAATCATGCATATGAGCTTATGGACTTTATTTGGAACCGATCTGTGTTGAGATGATCCAGGGAACCGGGTCTTTTTTGGATTCCATGATTGGGGATGATGGGGGTACAGTCCTGACCACTGGATGTGAGGTGTCAGCTTTGACAAACACATATTGAAGAGTAGAACGGGATGTTGGAAATTTGGAAAACACACACATGTGAAATGAAACCCCTGGCGGCACGGTGCCAACAAGGCTTCCGAAGCAATGGAGCACCTTGCATGAGACATCCTGGGAGTGGTTGTGGACAACTGTGGCACGGAACTTGAACGAGTCGACCATGAAGGCAGATGGAAGCGACGTGTGAAGCGACCTGTGCGACCCGTGCGACAGATCAGTGAAGTGTCGTTGATATTTGATCCTGACACTGACATGGAATGCCAAGAGACACCCAGGGAAAAGAGGGGTTTCCAACCCAGCAGGCTTCGACCTGTTTCGGAAAGTGGTGGAAAATTACGAGTACAGTAGGGCAAGTGAAGCTGCTTTGGTGTTCTTTTGAAGGCCATGTGGGGAGTAGGTGTGGCCTCATGCTTGCGGCAGTGTGGGTTTCTCAACGTCCTATCGCCCATGACTGGTTCCATAGACCGAAGCTCTCGATTGTATTTCAACCCCCACATAAAGAGGATTTATATGGATTAATAATCCAAATGGGGGGGTCTATCAATCAAGAGATGTTGAATCCAGCGGCTACATTACATTAGCACGAAACACAATATCGGGTTTTACTGGAAAAAGCCGTGAATGGGATATACTATCGGTTACTATCGGATACGTCTCCGTCTAACATTGTGTAACCGTAGAAGCAACCTTTGGCCCCATTTCCATGCGGTCCCTTCTTCCGGCCCGCGGCTGTGACTGGAAGGTGCGTGCCTTCAAACCGTACAACATCCGGATGTTCTCCTCATTGCAAGAAGAGCACCCGGGCGGGTTCAATGGCCGAGGCTGTGGTCTGAACTGGTATGATGGGGATTGAGGGACACCATTCGCAGACTGAAAACCAAGATGGAACAGCATCGTGTTGGTCGTGTTGAGTTTCTCGGTCCATGCAGAAGATGGGGCTATAGAGAAACTTGTTCAGCATATCTCCGCATGCACCGTTCCTTAGTGGAGATGGATAGAATTAAGAAAACCACTTAGGCTATCTCTGATGGTTTTCCAAATAATATGCAAAAAAACACGGGAAAAAAAGCAACTACAAAAAGCAAAAACAAAAAAGAGCGAATCAAAAAAAAACAAATGAAAAAGCACAAGCAAAAAAAAGCGAAACAACCAAAGAAAAAACACAAATGAAAAAATCAAAAAGCGAAAAAAACAAGACAATGCGAAAACACATAAAATAATACCAGAAAAACTGCGGGCGAGCAAAAAAGCCAAAAACATTATAAAAAGGAAACAAACAAACCGGAAAAAAACAGCGGAAAAAAACAGCGACAAACAAAGCAAAAAATATGCGAAACAGGAGCGGAAAATTGCTTTCACTTTTTCTTTTTTTGGCTGTTGCTTGTTCATTTGTTTTTTTTGCTTTTTGGATTTGTTTGTTTTTTGCTTTTGCCTTTTCATTTGCTTCTTTTTTGCTTTTTGGATTTTTTTTGCTTTTGCTGCTTGCAGTTGCTTTTTTTGCATTGTTTTTGCATTTTTATTGTCAAGATTCACAGAGTTAGCCTGGGTCCGGCGATCACAAGGCTGGAAATTACTTCTGTCATTATCATGCTGGGCGATTTGAGCGATGATAGACGCGGGGCTGGCCCAGGGACTTCTGTACCTGTTCGTGGCAGCCATTGACCCTGAGGAAAATGAGTGAGAAAGATTGATTGCATATCCCCACTGCTGCATCAACACATATCAACACTCAAGAGCAGCTTCATAGCTCAGAAGCTCTAGCCCTAGTTCTAGCTTTGCTAGCTTTGCTAGCTTTGCTTTCTGTTTCACAACAGTTCCCCCGTGTTCTCCATCGGCAGCCTACGCAGACCGCCCGTGAAACCCCGTTTTTTTCTTCCAGGGCAGAATGGGGTCGGGTCGAGCACTCAGGCAGCTGGACCGCTTCCGCAAGGACATCTTCACCGAATTCTTCGCGCGAAGCCAGGCAAGTCAAGACCTTTTCAAGCAGCCGCTTGGCACACGAATTGGTGCTGGAGACCTTCAGGATGTGCTTGGGAGGTTTGTTCATGAGTCAATATGAGTCGTATGAATGGGATCAAAGATATCAAAGTCTACCCTGAGGTCACAGACCAGGCTGCGCTACATTGCTGATCGGGTGCTGCAGTCCTCCTCGGACATGTTTCAAAAGAACAAGGATGATGCATGGCTTGGAGGGGAGAAACTGGACATGCGCGGTGCATGAGGGGACCTTTGATCTCAGAAGGAGCTCCAAAAGCCACAACTTAGGAAGGAAAGAGCACTCTTTAGGCAGTTTTCATAACATTTCGCAACCCCTCAAGACTCGTTGACGGATGGTTGATGGCTGTGCTGTGAGCAAAAGGGCCTTCGCCGACAGGGTATGTGCAGATTGTGTTTTTGGCAAGCCATTGGCCAGCAGTTTAGCCACAAAGCACATTGATATCTATACACATGGACATGAATTTGTACGATTTTGTACGTTGGATGGATGTGTTTCAGAATCCGCATCAGCTTTGACACGCGTGATTTGCTGCAGACTCTGCTTCTTCAGGCAGGCGAAGGTGCAGTTTGCTACATGCATGTATTCTTGGCTCAGCCACCCCAGCAACTGCGTTGAAATATTGGTGTTGTCCAAAAGGTTTTCCAGGTGGCATTGTTTTTTCATTGCATGCATGACTTTGGTTTGATAAGAATATGCTTTGGGGGACCGATGCCCTAAACTCCAGATGAGTGTGGTGAATGGCGACCAGCACCTTTTAAAGATCGGCGATGTTCAATCGTTAAACGTAAAGGACCCGAAGTGGATGAAACAGTATTCCTTCAGCATCGGAATTCTTCCTTCGAGTTGTGGGCATTCATGGCCGTGACAGTACTTGTACTCATCCCAGTTGCTTTTGCACGCGGCTTTTAGCTAAATCAGCTAGGGTTTTGTTGGCCAAGTGTTGAGCATGTGCAAACGGTTTTCTTCCAAACATGTTCTCATCGAGCTGGTGCACCCGCCGGCCCGGTCACAGTTGTCAGTTGTATGTCAGTTGTTGTCACAGCCAGCTTCAGAGTTTGCTACCCCAAAAGGATGGAACAGAGCTGGATTTGATTTTTCCATGGTTCAAGGATGTTTTTGGGGGGTAACCTTGTAACCTATTCAGTTTCTATCCACCTTGCATCACCTGATCTTCCACCGATTCGACGAAAAGAAGCACCGATGGTAGCAAGGAAACATTGGATGATCTCTCAGCCCTTGGTTTGCGTCATGTTGGCTTCTTGGACGATCGAGAGGACGATCGGGTGCACGGAGCGAAATACGCAGAAAATAGCCGAGAAATGGTGGTGAAAGTCCGAAAGCTTTTCTCAGTTGTTGGAGCCAAGCCCCAAGTGTTTGAATTGCTTGTAATGGGGAACATGTGGATAACCTTTAGCTTCTTTGGCCCACTAAAAGAAACAGGCCGAAAATGGTCAACCTATATTAACCTTTGTTCTATAGAGAACTGAAGGATTACCGCGCGTTTGAAGTTTGGCAGTTGGAAGCTCGTGGTCTTTACATCGGCATCAGCTGTGTGTGTGTGTGTGCGCGTGTAAACCGCTATCACAAGCGGATGTTCAGAATAGATTGCATGACAATAGAGCATGCAGCTTCGAGTGGTCTAATAGCAGGGGGCATGGCAGCTGTTTCCCTGGGATTCAGCCGGAAGGGAATGTGGACGCACATTCCTGCACCTGCTTTTCGAACCATGTTTGAACAATAGTTGACACTCTAATCGATCAGGCTGTTGCAGGTTCATAAGGATGAGTTCTTACACATTTGTGACTGTGTCGCCTTGTACTTACGTCTATTGAAGGTTGTGGACTCAGGAGGTTCCGGGCTTAGACACCTTTCTACAGTTCCACCACCCAAAATCATTTCTCAGTGTGTGCGTAGGTGTGGCATGGTGCTGGTAGTGCCGAAGACTGAAGAATTTGGCATCTCTACAGGTCTACATGCGTCTACTGTAAAACGCTGATCGTTGGCCAAAATAGAGCGAACCGGACGCGTGATGTTCGATGTCGCATGGGCGCGGCACAGCACGCCACTATATCAAATTACTATATCATGATTTGCCGAGGCTATGGCATTCCCATCGAGCTCTTTGGGCCCTTTGTGGAGGTTTGCGTTCAGGCGGGTCAGTTCGGTCGCCCCGTAGAAATCCACGCATGAGCAAAATCATGACTTGGGAAGACTTGGACTTGGAGGCCATCGCTACTAGGTTGGAGGCCATCGGGAGGCCATCGCAAGTAGGTTGGCGCAAGTAGGTTTAGGTTGGAGGCTCTCTGGTGAGATTTACATAGATTTACCATTCTCAGATTTGTCAGGTGATGCATCCGCTGATCCAGGAGTTTCCCAATGACGTGGTGTCCTGGCGTTTACGGCTTTGCTCCCAAGACCGTGGGTCTCTTGGGGCAAGGGCATTGACTGAAGAGTGGAAAGGTTTGAAGCTGAAGCTGGAAGGTCTCGGGGATGCTTTCAGATCCAGGTTCCTTGAGCGATCGAGGGTGTTGTAACCTGTCATCACATGTGATTACCCATGAAGGCACATGGCATTTCCCAACCCAGTTTGCAGAGTCAACGTCAACGGAGTTTCACCCCACATCCCTCTGAAACAACCCTCCAAATCTGCCCAAGTCGTGGGGTGCAAACTCTTGGAAAAGCGCATGTCCAACGAATGCCTCCAACCTATAAGCAATGGCTTCCAACCTAACAGCGATGGCCTCCACCAAGATCTTCCGGAATTCAATCCAATGTTTATAGTTTATATAAAGGCACAGCGGGGAGATTTGAGCAATCATTCATCCGACCAGCTGATGTTCTTTCACCACACAGCCCAGATAGCCCACTCCCCACTAGTTCTTTACTTTGCTGGCAGGTAGGTGCGACAGTTTCTTGTGCAGCAGCTGGATTCTCCTTTCCTCCTTTCCCACAAATTTTAGCAAGAAATAATTAATCAGGGGAACGGCTCAATAAATACGCACACACACATGGCACACTGGCTGGATTGTGCTGCGCCGCCGCCTGTCCTGATATGATCCGACACAGAATCGTGGGTTGCATTCATAGCTCGTGGCAACTGTTGTGCCAAGATACTTTTGCTGACTTGCCGATGATTTGCCGGGCATGTTGTTGGTCCTGCTATTCCTGACTGGAATCACTGGAAATCACCTGAAGAAAGGTGACACGATGCATGTGTGCCCAACATGTTGATGAACTTTGCTCGGAGACATGTCAGATCTGCCATTTCAATTTGCCATGAGCAGTGGGACTGAGGAGAGTACCAAGCTTATTTGGTGCCCAAAGGATAGAGCGCATCAGATTCCAGACTCTTAACTGAACTAGATAGGGAGCTAACCTGCCTTACCCTGGTAGCAGGTCAGCAGAATATATGCTCCGTCAGTTGGATGGCCTCCAACTTAAGAGCGATGGAATGGCCTCCAACCTGAGAGCGATGGCCTCCCAACCTAATTGGAATGGCCCCTAACCTAACAGCGACAGCCTCCAACCTAGAAGCGATGGCCTCCAACCTAACTGCAATGGCTGGGTAGGTGGCTTTTTATTATGCTTTTGTTGAAAGGCTCGGGACATTCTGACGTTTTCTGACGGCTCATCTAGGCATACGCCTAGCCCTCATGGGCTGTCACCACCCTTAATTTCAGGAGAATGAGATGCCTGAGCACATGATGATCGAAGGCTTTCGTTGGTCGATCGGCCACTGGGCTGGTGGGCTGGTGGGCTGGCGGGTCTGACATGCCGCTGCCATTGATATCAAAGAGCACTCCCTGAATCTCCCTGGCTTCCTGTTGATAGTGCGGAGGAAGATTGTCTCAACAAGAACTCAGGAGTTTGTCGTTGGCTGGCGGCTAGGAGTACCATGCAGCTGCACCCTGTTTGCGTATCATTGTTGTCAGAATCACGCAAGCTGGAATATACGAGGGGTGCTGCTTGACTCAGAACCAATACAGAAAAAGAACAAGTTGAACTAGGGACGAACCCATCACTGTCATGACATTGCATTTTTGGACGGCGTGCCATCGGGTTGTCCACTCACAGCTGCCACTCCTTGCTCATCTTGCCACGGGGTAACCTGGCTCCAAAACGGGTTCATTGACACCTACCACTCAGGCTTGACTGCTCGTGTTCTGGTGCGGACCATTATGGATGGGTCAACCGCCGTGATGCAGCTTGCCCGCGCATAGCAGGTCCCGGACGTGGTCAGATCAGAAGACTGGAGCTGTGGAGCTGTGGAGCACAGATGGCTGGGGGTAAATAGTGACACATAGTGATACAGACCTGGGGTGATGCATTTACATCAACAAAACCCATGCTATTTACATCATGCAGACCTGGGGTGATGTCGATTGAACAAACTTGGGACCGGATGGGCCATGAAAAGCCACTTTCCACCTCACCGGAAAAGCTCCGTCGAAATCCTCGATGGAAGCGGATTGCACCTCCCCATTTGCACTGACCCTTTTTCACTTCCATGATTGTGTCACGGGGAATAATTAGATCGATCTCACTGTTTTTGTCAAAAGAAGCCAGGTTCCAAACTGTTTGGGCCAAGGCAGGCGATCCACTTTGACGATTCCAAGCGTTTGCGCCGGGCATTGGCGGACGCTCCTCGTGCTGCTTTGCTCATGTGATAGGGGTTCTCAGGGCATTTTCTGATGAGGGTGAAACCACACAGATGCCTCCGATCTACAAGACCATCCCCCCAAAACAGGGAAGGCCAAACACAGCCAAGAGCAAAGGTCTGCCAGCCAACTTGCTGAAGGATTGCTCCGTGATTTCATATGATTTCAGATGCTTTCGCAATCTTTCACACGATTTTCATGTCGCCACAGCAGGGCCTCGGCGGGGCCTCGGACTTGAGGTGGAACGTTTCGTGTGGCAGCTGGCGGTGCAAGTTGGCAGTCAGTCGATCTCCCCACTCTTTTGGGCCCTCAGGATAGACGGATGGATCGGTGCCAGACCCGTGCTCGGCTTAAACCACATCGGTTTCGGGGTCCGAAAAAACCTTCGCACTCGATCGCACTCGGTCATTGAAGTTCTCCTCAGAGTCTGTTTGAGTATGTTTGAGTCTATGTCCTTTCGGCAAGAAAAGGAGGTCAAAGACTCCAGATGATTGGTTGGTGTCGAACTGCTCACTGCTTCTGGATGGCAAATTCTTGATATCGATTTTGGGGGCACTGGTTGTACAACCTGAATCTTGATCAGGTTCTAAAAGGACCTGGTGGAGGCCAGCCTATCACTAGTTTCTGCCAGGAGCGGGGCTCATGACACTGCAAAGACGATGATTGAAGACGTGCTAACCATTCGAGCTGAAGCTTGGGATTTGATCTTTGGAGTTTTGAGCTCGGTCTTCCTTTTCCACTTGGAATGTGACGAATCTGTCGGCCGCATGGCTGTCGGATCTGTTGGCCAAGCAAGTGGCAAGTGGAGCGAATCATGAGCAAGTCATTGGCATTGGTGTTCGGGATCGGGGGCACAAGGGGCCAGAAATGAAGCACCAGCCAGATGAAACAAGGGGAGAATGCACGTGAAACGCAACACCTATCAAAACCTCACATCCAAATATAGTTTAGACTCTTGAGCTAGACAAGCTAATGAGTGGGTGAGTGTGACCCTGCTTCTCCAGAGCGAAAAACGTGTGCACCAAGGACAGGGACAACTACTACTATGGTGCGGATGAGCTGTTCAAGTGGCCCCAGGGGCACTTTGTTTCCCTCGGAGGGGCCTTTTTTGGTATCTGGTATGTCAGTCCCATGTTCACTTCACATACATGTGCCGAAATCGAGCGGCCCTAATAAAGTATCATAAGAGGGGTTCCGACATCACTGCAGGATGTGGACTTCAGTGAGGCAATCACCTACCAAATGAGAATCACTTAGGTGAGCCTGATTTTTGAAATTAGGGGTGTGGAGATTTGTCTCTATGAGGCTTGGGATTTCTCCAGTATTGCCCCCCGAGAGGCTGCCCAGCATATTTCCATGCAGGCCATGCAAGTGTCATGGCAATTGACTGCGGAGGTACCAGCCCAACATCGCAGACAACGTTTTGCGCGAGGCGCCCTTCCTGGCGGAGACCTTGTTGGATGGATTGATTTGGAGGTCGCACAAGAGCAAGGACCGGTGGATGTTGTTCGGTTCAAGTGCCAAGCAGTGTGCCAAGCATGGTCAGAACATGTCAGAAATCGCGGCTGGACGTGCTTACTCGACCTCGCCCGCTGCCTTGGAGTTCTCACGCATGCAGCCAATCGTTCACCACTTGAGTCAAGAATCGCACATCGGTCCCAACTCCACATCACGAGTCCGCTATCATGAGCCACCTGAGTTCCCTTGCTGTATTGCAAACATGTGCTGTATTGACAAGTCTGTGGTTCCAAATGCTCAGAAAGTCATATTTCTTCATGAGGGTAGGCCCCCTTGGTGCCTTTGTGTGAGGAACAAGGGTGATGAATCGAAAAGCAAGAGTCTCTAGTAACAAGAAGCTAGTAGGCTGGAGGTCATCGCTACAGGTGGAGGCCATCGCTACTAGGGTGGAGGCCATCGCTATTAGATGCTATTAGGTTGGAGGCCATCGCTACTAGTAGCAAGAAGCTACTAAATCGACTTCCTTTTGTGCATTTTGATATCCCTGCTGGGGCACGCTCACCACACCTGCTGCTGGCCCTCCTCCGCCTGCTCCTCGTTCGCTGCTGCTGCTTTGCTGGCCTGTTGCTGTTCTTTATTGTAAGGCTGTACTATGTTGTTGGTGTGCTGCTGTGCTGTTGCTGCTGTCCTGCTGCAGGTTTGCGGCTGTTGCTGCAGTTTTTCTTCCCTTCTGCCTTGCTACCTTTAGTTCGCCCCCTGCTGACTCAAGTATTTGGACCATGCGTCATGCGCCACTCCCTTGCGAGGACAACTTGCGCCCGGTGATCTACTATTTGAAGCACCTGTTGCAAGACATGGATGAAACGAAGATGCTCTCCCGGGCTTTGATCAGCTACATTCGATTCGACCACCCTCAGACAATCATGCATCCAATCCTCGCTTTTTCATTGGATTTGCTTTGGGACAAACTGGTGCCTTGGGCGAAGTGTGGTGGGGGTGCGTTTGTGTGTGTGTAACCCTTGGAATCATAGGGATCCTTTCGGATTGTTTTAGCTTCACAGTTGTTTTCCTTGTGCAGCAGGGGGCTGGAGTGTGCTTCAGATGTCTCCAGCCAACGAAGACGCATCTGTCGCACAGTGATATAGTTCTGGGACGCCAGAACTACGTACCTGCCTTTTTCAAACGGAATGGCGCGGTGCTAAGCCCAGAACCTCACTTGCTGCAGACTTGAGCGATCGTCGTCATTTCGCCCTGTTCGTCGTCTTCGACCTTACGCTTTTGGCCTCCTTTCCTTTTAAGACCTCCAGGATTCGATGGTCCTTACTGGTTCTCTTAGGAAATGGAACCCTAGGCCGGCGTGTGGCACCGCTTTCAGTTCAGTACACCCTATCCTAAGTGTGTTTGGCCTCGTGCCAACCCGGGATGAGCCCGTGCCTCCCGTGGACCCGTTGAACGGGAGTACGTCGTTATCTCCCCTGCCCGGAGATGTACGTGTCCGCAGCGGACAGTAGCTGGCTCATGCCACCAGAACTCCGATTTTGTCTCATCTTAGGAATTCCAAGTTGGCTCATGCCTTTACGTGACCGCAGCGGTCTAAGCAGCCAGCCGCTTCGGCAGGGCACAAGGTGACCACAGCGGTCAAAGTATTTTTGAGGTTCATTGGAACCTGTTGGGACCTTAGCCCCCTTCTCCCCCTTCCCTTCCCCCTTTCTTTCTTTGCTTCCTGGTGTTTTCCTGAATGCAACACTCAGGATCACCCCTCTCTTTCTTTGGTGTGTCCCTGGACGCTTGTTCGTAGCTGGGAACACCTGCCTTTTTTTTCTTTTTCTCTCTCCTCTCCCTTTCTCTCCCTCTCTCTTTCTTTCTTTCCTTCTCTCTCTCCTTCCTCCCTCCTTGGGTGTCCCTGGATGCTTTTGTCATAGCTGGGAACCTTCTCCTCTCTTCCTTTGGTGTGTCCTTGGACGCATGCGTCGTAGCTGGGAACACCTTCCTTTCTTTTCTCTCCTTTTTCTCGTCTCTCCCTACCCCTCCCTCTTGTCGGCGCCTTTGCTTGGGATACTACTAGGGGCTCCTGGCCTTCCTACTAGGTGTTAGGTGTTTCTTTGACGCTACTAGAGGTTCCTGGCCTTACCACTACTTGCTATCGTGAGATTCGTCGATTCACCGAGTCTCACACCACCTGTGGCGCGGAGCTTAAAATCTTGCCTCCCCTCGGGGAGGCGTGTGTGTGTAACCCTTGGAATCATAGGGATCCTTTCGGATTGTTTTAGCTTCACAGTTGTTTTCCTTGTGCAGCAGGGGGTGGAGTGTGCTTCAGATGTCTCCAGCCAACGAAGACGCATCTGTCGCACAGTGATATAGTTCTGGGACGCCAGAACTACGTACCTGCATTTTTTTAACGGAATGGCGCGAGGCTAAGCCCAGAACCTCACTTGCTGCAGACTTGAGCGATCGTCGTCATTTCGCCCTGTTCGTCGTCTTCGACCTTACGCTTTTGGCCTCCTTTCCTTTTAAGACCTCCAGGATTCGATGGTCCTTACTGGTTCTCTTAGGAAATGGCGGAAATGGAAGTGGCACCGCTTTCAGTTCAGTACACCCTATCCTAAGTGTGTGTGTGTGTGTCCACTCCTGTTTCCAAGGACACTACTCTAGTTTTTCTTTACTAATCTACCCTACAAGCTTTTCTGTACAGAAGCAGGGGGACATGGCGTGCGTTCAGGGACCATGTCCAACGAAGCTACCTGACGCACGGGATATGAGAGCTGATCACTCTCACGTACCTGCAATTTTCCAATTGTTTGAGATTTCTAAGTCAGTGCAACGCCGTCTCATACGTTGTTTCCTGCAGTATCTAGATTTAAAGGGCTAATGCACACCGCGAAGCTACCTGAAATCACGCTCCACGGAGCAACCTTCTCAAGTGTGTCTTCGCAGCTTCTTCCCACTGTGGTGAGCTGTGTGATCCCTACGGGGCGCCGTTACCGCAAGAACCTGATCACTCCTCATCGAGGGAGTAAGTTTCCTGAATTTTCTCTGAAGTCCCTTAGACTGAATTTGACCTGCTCGAAATCAGCTTGGATCGTCTCACCCAGCACACGTGAAGATTACTGCAGAGTTCACTGAAATCCTTTCTGAATCCCACTGCAGAGTTAACTGAAAGAGTTTCACCCGGAAATCCATTCATTCCTTTCAAATCTTTTTAACCTTCCAAGTTTTAACTCCATTTTCCAGAATTTAATTGCGGTCATTCAATACACGCCACAACTTTTTCGACCTCACGGACCTCTATTTATTTTCATACATACATACATATTTTCACTGTCTTTGACTTGCCGAGCAGCCATGACGTATCCCTGGCCCTATTCTTTGCCGCCACACATCCATCCACAACCACAACCTACACAACCCCATTGGATTCAATATCCACCACAGGCTTCACCACAACCTTTTCCAACACTGTCACCGACTCCACCACAACACCCAACCTCACATCACTACCCATTGCCCACTGCACCTCCACCTCATGCTCAATACATCCAACCACATCAACTTCAGGCACATTTTCCAGTGCAACCTACGGCTCCCTTCGACACTACTCAACTTGCGCAACAACATCCGCATCTCACAACTCAATCACCACAACCCCAAGCCCACACACATCTTACATTGCCATTTCAGTCACTATCTCAACCTCAACCACCACCTTTACCTCCCCAACCACATCAGCCACATCTACCACATCAACTACATCCATCACCACACACGACGAATCAAACCCCTGCCACAACATCATTTCAACCACCACCACTACAAGCACCTGATGTACTACAAGCACCACCACCTGATCCAACAACAATCACTTCACAGCAGTTGACCACACCAACTCCACCACCACCACCTTACACTTCAACACCCTCACCAGCGACTACTCAACCTGCTTCAGCATCCATCAACACCCGCACAGCCTCCGCCACCACACCACATTCCACGCACTACCAAGCCAACACCATCCATTGCACCCACACTCAGCACCACAAGAGGCATTTGGCGCGACCCAGATCGCTCACCACCACGCACACCTGAACACCACCGCTACTCAGCCTTTCCAGCCGTACCTTCCATTGCACCATCACAAGCTACATCCAGATCCAGGAGCCGCACTCGATCACTACGTACCACACGCTCTCCACTACCAAGACGACGAAGCTCCGCCACACAATCCATGGCTAGTTCTCAAGCACAATCCAAACCTGCAGATAGACAAGCATCACCATCACCAGCAATCACCCAAGACAAAGCTCACACTTCCATCCAAAACATCACTACGGCTACTACTGCAAAACACACTCCAGAGCCACCTCACCGTACTTCCAGCATTACACTCAAGCCCAACCCACATTTTACTCCCAAACATCCCACAAAACAGACACTTCCACCACCACCACCACCAACATCAACACCTGCAATTCCAGTCCAACGTCGACCTCACAACTTGCCTCCTCCAACATTCCAACCACCCACTGATCCAGCACAATTGGATGTTTTCCAATGGCTCAACCGCTACGCACAAGCACTTGATGTCAAAAATGAACCCATGCTCTCCTACGTAGCCAAGGTACTCAGTGCAGCTCATCTCAACAGCACCCACTTTACCGACCTACAACTTCTCACCCACAAAAAATGGAGCGATGACACCAACAAAGAAGAACATTATTCCTTCCTACTACTCACAATCCCCACATTAGCGAGCAGGGGCGACGCCCCGATTCTTCCTCCTACACGGAGAGAGGCGCTGAACATACCACCTATTAAACACATTTTTGCGGCACACGTTAGCGAGGAGGGCAACATTATTTCAATACTTGAAGCAGGAGAAATCGTGCGATCCATTCTGCATGATGATCACAATGTGGGATATTTTTGTCAGGCGTTCGAATTGTCGAACTATGAGCCCCATGATGCTGCTGAAGCTGCACGCGTTCTCTTCAATGCTTCCAACATGGCCAAGAACCGCAGCGGCCTCATTCTAACGATCAAAGCCTATGGACACGGCCAGAAAGTCACTCATGGTGGCGAATCCGCAGCGAACGACTTGCTGCTCAGAGGAGAAGGGATTGTAAAATACACCCCAGGAAAATGCTGGGTGGCCCATCCCAAACATTCCAGAATAGAAGGGATAGCTTGGAAAAGCGATGCAAAGCCACCGCTCAGTTTCATTTAATTCAATCTATTCAGCTCTCGAGGTTCATTTTTCACCTCATATTTTGGATGACGACCGAGCCTCAAACAATCTCAGCCAGCCTGCCTGATATTGATAATGATTCAGTTTTTCTCACACATCGTTGTCAACTCCCTTTTCTTCCGATATGTTATTCTTGTACAGATTGATGCCGACAACATGATTTTTACGGTCACTTTTCCAACTTTCCAGACTTGCAGCATGTCAGCATTCCTGGTTGATATCAAGCTGTTCGAAGAGAGTCACAAGCATTTCGAAGAGAGTCGCAAGATTTCCTCTGTTTTGCAACCTGTCCCGCAGCCATTTTGTATTATCTTAAATATTGAGCTCGATCCCTGACGACCAGCCGAGCTATATTTGCTTCCCGACGAGTACCACGACGATGACTTCCCCTTTGGACACAGCATTTGCCCATCGACTTCTTTTAGCACACCTTCAAGCAGCCACCTCCATTGCTACTACTTTTCAAAACCTTCCACCATTTACACCGCAACTACCACAACAAGCACATCACCCACTCACTACCACTCCACCTTCTCCCCAAAGACCAGCCAGACGCACTCCTCCACCACTGCAACCGCAGCCGTCTTTCTCACGCAGCCGCAGTCCGCCTCCCGCCAAAGGCAAACCATTCATGGAGTGCAAACCAGAACCTTCTCCTTCACATACGCCCACTTCACCACATCAGTTTTCACCACACCACCACAAGTCCAAAGCGACTCACCAACACAA